TAACTGCCATAGTGGAACCCTATCACATATCATGATCCTACAGATCAGTGCAAGATGTGGTGATATTTGCTCTCCAGCATCTCTTAACACCTGAACAACAACAACAGCTTTGCACTGCTATTGTTCCCGGATTACAGCCCCACCTTTAAAACAACCAGTCTGCTAAAGATGACCGCTGAGCCGGCTGAGCTGGAACTGGATTCTGGACTTTCTCAGAAACGGACCACAGCCTGTGAGAATGGAACAGAAGTTCTCTGCTGAGCTTACAGTCAGCACAGCAATCTCACAAGACTGCTGCCTCGGCCCCTAAATTCTTCCCTATATTCACATATGACAATGATATAGCTTTAAAAAAAGGCTAGACTTTATCTGGGTGCTGAAGAAGAGTCGATTTAAGCACCAGGTTTTAACATGAGACATACAGAGGACATCCTGATCAGCTGCATCATAATGTAGAGGAACAACCTCTGGCTGAGAAGAGGAAGCCTCAGTGGGTTTACACTCCTGCAGAAAGGGTCAGAGCATTAGGAGGGACATTCTCCAGGCCGTGAGCATCAGCACACAAAACCAGGCTAGAGGGCCAGGACATCACAGAGGGAAAATAGCTCACAACAATAACCACTGAGACACCGAACAATTCAATTCAGTTCATTTCTATAGCGCCAATTCACAACACATCATCTCAAGGTGCTTTCCAGTTCACCAGATCATTCAGTCAAATTGATTCAAAGTTTTCTATCTTAGGAAAACCAGTTGATTGCATTGACTCATTAATTCAAATTAAATCCCTCACACTAAGCATGCTTGTAGCGACAGTGGAGAGGAAAAACTCCCTTTTAACAGGAAGAAAGAATCCACATTAAATCTGGCTCTGCTTAATATTATTGCAATTTCCATTCAGTGTTTTTATGTGGCCTATTTATGTTTGTGATACTCAGAGACTCGCACTAATACTTCATTGCACATGTTTCTAATTTGTTACCATGTCAGTTAAAATAGTTGCTGGTTTTCAGCAGTGCAGAGCCACGCCTCTAATTCTCCCCCTGAAACCCAATTCTATGAAAGCCCATTAACGCTTACATTGGAATGATTATTATTATCATTATTATGAGATAGACTTTTAGTATAACATAAAAAAACAGACTTAGCCAAAAACATTTCATGACATTTCCATTTTTTAAAGTCCAGCAGTGATCAAATGTAAATAAAAAAATCAATTAAAAGTCATAACTATGAGA